ATTTCTTCATTCGCTTCTCATAACGTGCTGTATTTTTTCGACAGAGACTCGTTTCTTTTCGGAAGGAAAGTTGTCTATTGTGACATTCTTAGTGTTTTGCAGGTTTTAAAAGCTGGGTGCATTCCTTTGTACTTCCTCCTGTTGATCTTCCCCAACCTGTGGCGCGTCACTGCAATATACGTCTCCATTAAAATGTCATCAGGCGTGTTGAGATGTCCACTGGGCACAAAGTTATTTTCAGAAAATCATCTTCTGTCAACAGGCCACAGACCAGTTCCCCGAAACCCATTTGCTGCATTGAATATTGATGCTGTCTTGCCGTTCGCTTCTGAAATTAGATAAGGCAACTGGAACTGAGTGGTATATTGACCGGGATTGGGACGTAGGCAGTTATTTGGTTTGTCTCTACAGCCTCCAGATTCTTTGTTTTCGTGTTGTGTTCATGTAGGACAAGAACACTTTGTTCTCAGTTATTTTTTTCACGTGATTGATAAAATGATTCAATCACTTCCCAGACAACTCCGAATTCGTTTAAACACTTTCGAAAACTTCAACTAGACTTCCGGGTTGTGCAACAACTTAGAGGGAGGGATTATTTATTTTTATCTTAAAAATTAAATGCTTCTTAATTGGCGTTTGAGGATACCATATCGTTTGCAACACTCATTTAGACCTCTCTTTTCCTCCTTGATTGCAGCAAGGGCGGTTTGCATGGCCTCGGGCTGCCACATACCGCATTTTTTCTGAAAATTATCTGAAACAAAAAGCTTCTTAAATTGCATCAGTGCTATTTACGAAATATCGGAATGAGGCGTTTCTGGATCCTTGTACTGATTGCGATGATCATAGAATATAACCTTAAAAACCCGGAAGAGAAACAACACTGCGAAATATCACAAATAATTTTGCGTTTCCTTTAAAAGAGTGGTAGGGCGCTTTAAGCACTGTATTTTGCATCACTTAGAAGAACTAATTAACCATGTTTGCACCATAAATAGTTTTAAAATAAGCTTAAAAGAAAAAATTACAATATAAGCTATACAAATTAAGATTGTATGAATTACTAAGGAACTACGCAATCAAACATCTGCTTCCTTATTCTGTTGACGATGAACCAATTATTACAAATCTATGTTGTAGGTCATTTAAAATATGTTTATAGATGCTGATATATAGATGCATTGTCTAATACGTACAATGAGATGAGAATGCGTCCTACGGTCGCTAAGATTCTCTAAGTCATTAGCTATCGATTTCGTTTATCTGTAGAGGAATAGGACAAGGTGTCCAGGTGACTAAAACTTCCTACATGATAGACGCTTAATTCCACTGATGGATTGCACAGGGTTGTGATGACACCCTCAGAATCCACGATTCACATTAGGACACACCGCAGCTGCTCATATAAATCAGATAATGAACAACAATGCTTTTTGTCTCTCGCATCAAAAAAACTACGAAGAACCTTAATGTCTTTAGTCTCTCTTCCTTCATGTTAAAGGATGAAATTATGTATCACTTATTGGTCGTATAAAAAGGACAAAGATTTTGTTGTTTCGTATTTGGATATATAACCAGGTATCGTTTTATTTCATAACATTATTATGGATCCCTTTATTTTTACGAGACAAAAGGGCGGGCTAATGATATCACCTTCCTGCCTATGTGTCTCTTCTCATTTTTTGAAACAGTTGACCAATTTTAACTAAATATGGTATGAACAACCTAACACACAAATGGTTAGGCCAACAATATTTTCAATTTCTAAACTTCTCCCTCTTCGTTTCATTTGTTTCTATCGCCTTCTATTCCTGTGCCTAAATGCTCCGTACCTATTATTGCATTATCAGGGGCACTTCGTAAATCGAAATGTTTTTATAAACAATTATTATCTTAGATCTTCCTAAAACTCGATGGTTTGGAAACCGGATCATGTTTTCGTAACTCGGTGTCCGGAGGTGGGAGTTCTAAGTTTGGAGTTCGAGACTGCGAAGTCCAATAAAGTACGAAATACAATGAACAGAAACAAAGAAAAAAGTGAAAAGATAATTTAACTGAAAAATCATACGTATTATCAGTCTGAAATTTTTGAGTTATTTTAATCTGGCTATCATTTTTACCTGATGTGACAACTTGTTATTGGCTGTGATAAACAATATGGTTCAGAATACCACCACCACTTCAATATTTCTTCTTTACTCCTTTCTTTCTATCTTTCCTCCTTTTTGATTTCCTTCTGTGTTTCTCTCCTGGCACCTTCTTCCTGATGTCTATTTCTCGGATGCGATATATATTTGTATCTGTTCCTTAAGTTGCCAATAACAGATCGTTCCTTTTAACACAGATTTTCTTTAGTATTAGGTGGCGCCATCTGTGCGCCAAGTCCGCAAACTACACACATTTTTCTCATTTCTGTCTCTGTCGTACGTTACACAATGTCAGTGCCTGCACAGCGATGATCAATTTCACCCGTACCGAACTGTAATTATTCATTGTGTCCCTACTCCTGTTATTAGTAAGGTTCCACACGTGCTTACCATGTAATTAATTTGGTAAAGTTTAAAAATGACAGACGCTCATTAATAATTATGTCAGTCAAGCTTGGCCACATAACTTTTCCAGTCAAATGCTTCAAACGATATAGCTCATTACATTGCAGTTAGAAAAGACATATGGCATTATAGGCTTTGTTAAAACACTGTCTGTACGTCAATTTTAAATACTAATAAGATAGAGCAGCAATGCAAATTATGGCTTAAATGTTACTGTTGGGCCTATGTGTTTTAATTTGGATGTCTGTGTATTATTTTTATATGAGTATAGTTTGTGACTTGAGACACATCCAGCTTGTAATTCATCTGTTGTCATGTGTGATGCGAAGCATTTTTTCTCTCAGGAAAAAAAAAAGACGTGTTAGGCGCAGGGAAGAAGTTACATTTTCCCTGTTTCGTTAGTGACAAAGAATAACATTGATCCCATTTACTTCACACTTCTAGTTACTCGCTTACTGAGTATACTTTGTGATATTATAACTTTTACTGTCATAACATAATGAAATTTAAATACTAAAAAGATTTCTTTGCCTGTAAAATCCTATATACATACGTCTGTCCAGTCTCAGGTATTTGCATCTAAGTCTTCATGAATCTCTGAAATAACCTCTTAAGGTACCATAGTTTCGTACATTTTATCTGCAAGGAGGTCGAGAGAGACCCTAAAACATGAAACTTTTTATCAACTCGAAACGTTGCCTTGAACGACTTGTAATATTTTAATGGGAACGGTGTCAGCTTAAAACAAACGCCACAATATCAGTGTTTATTCTTCGCTGGAAACGTATTTTAGACGCCAAATATACATGGTTATGCAGCCTATAGTAAATTACACAGCCCTGCGTAGCGTATTTTGAAAATTTATTGTATTGGAAGCTGTATCATGACATTAGGAAGCCAAATGCTACTCAATTTTCACCCTCTATTTCGAATTCTGTGTTGAAAGGTGAAACATGACTCATGAACCAGCTATTAGCTAAATAATAACTGGTTTGGTTAACACCTTTCCTCTGGCAAGCGTGAACTGCCGAAAAATTACATTGAACAATTTTATTGAACGGCTTATACTTCCCTCGGATGTAATTTGTGGTATAATTACAATAGCGCGTACTCCGTAGACTCTGATCGCTGCCTTGTTTCCGTAACGTCACATAGGTCAAGCGATTTGATGGTATCAGCATTGGCTGGAATCTAAGGTTCAAATTCAGTTTAATAATAATAGGGCGCATATAACAGATGAGGACATAATTACTTCTTTTCTTCTAGACCATTAAGTACTATGAAAAACTTCTCGGCATGGGGTAAGGAAGTTACAGGCTTTGGGAGACCCATTTTTCCAAGAGGGCTTCATTTTGTGATCAGTTAGACTAAAGCCTACATTTGAACTCAATTACCAGACTAAGCCGTTATCTATTTTTGTATCAGTAATTATGTTCACTTCTGAAGGTGGGGAAAAATTCTCCTAAATTAACACCGGGTAAGTGTATGTAACTAATACAAAATATAAGGTTTTAATACTAGGGCCTCTATAAGAAGTTGGCATTGAAGTTGTGTTGTGTGGAAGGGTCAGACTGTACTACCAATTCTCCATCTGCCTCTCCGACAATCTTCCTTCTTCTGTTGTCAGGAGGTTTTCATTCTGCTGTCATGACCTGACCTCGCACGGCCGAATGCAGACCTGTGGACAGGACAGCATCTGAATCAAAATGCTTTCGCCGCCTGACCACCGAAATTAAAGGAACACAAAAAAAAAGTTCTGCTAGCTTATATAACATAGCAGAGGCGTTTCAGTGTAA